TAGAGACAGGGTTTCACCATATTGGCCAGGCTTAGAACTCCTGACCTCATGATCTACCCGCCTCAGCCTCCCAAAGTGCTGGGAATACAGGTGTGAGCCACCGCACCAGCCCAGTTCAATTCTTTTATCTCTAGTTGTGCTGCTTATAATCTTTTGTGCATAACTGTGGTTCACAATTAAACAGAGGCTTAAACACAGTTTATCTACAGAAGTTTACGCTGTCACTCTCTGGATCTCTCCTTTCCAAGATTCCTCCTCCCCTTACATTCCACTGATCAAATGGTTGTGGCTGACCCAAATTCTGTCCACTAGTTAAGTATTCTATGAAAGTTTGAGCCAACCTGTCAGGTGCAACTGTCCTCTAGCTAAAAGCAGTAAAAATAAAAAACTAATTCCATGCTGTCTCTTCTCACACGTGTTAACCCTCTTTCAGAATCTGACTGTTCCCGTTCATTCTCCAGTGCCTCCAGGTCTTTGGTTTTTTTAAAATTTTGTCCCGTTATACGCAGGACAGTCAGGTCCAGTAAAAGTCTACTTGGCCATAAGAAAAGAAAACCATTCTGAAATTGCTTCTAAAAATTACTTCCGATTCCTTGTATTTGTAGGTATATGGTTTCATTTTTTTTCCTTCTTTATGGACTCTTTCTAGCCATAGATTCACTTTAAATGATACCAAGATAGGAATTATTTTGTATCCTTTGTTTTGTAACTCTTTTTCATTCTACTTTAGCACCCACCATCTGCTGGGTGCTCAACAACGTAGATTTTACTAATAAATTATGAAAATTTTTTTTCATAACAGAAGACTCTCTAACTTTGACAATAACTAGAAAAATAACGCACATAGCTAGAAATGAGACTGACAAGCAGTAGCACCCTAACACTGAGGAAATATTCACATGTGTGAAAACAGACAAGAATGTTAACTTCAACACTGTCTCTAATAGTAAAAAATAGGAAAGAATCTAAATCCTTATCAAAAGAAAATATTAATAAAATGGATTACCACATTGCTGTTAAAATGAATAAATTATATATAGTCCAACATGAAAGAAGTTTAAAAACCTAATGTTGGGCCAGGCATGGTGGCTCACACCTGTAATCCCAGCACTTTGGGAGGCCGAGGCGGGCGGATCGCAAGGTCAGGAGTTCAAGACCAGCCTGGCCAAATAGTGAAACCCTGTCTCTACTAAAAATACAAAAAATTAGCCAGGCGTGGCAGTGGGTGGCTATAATCCCAGCTACTTGGGAGGCTGAGGTAGGAGAATTGCTTGAACCCGGGCGGTGGAGGTTGTAGTGAGCCAAGACTGTGCCACTGCACTCCAGCTCAGGCAACAGTGTGAGACTCCGTCTCAAAAAAAAAAAAAAACCACAAAACCAAAAACCTAATGTTGAATGAAAAAGTTATACAACAAACATGATAATATGAATAAATGGTTGAAAGACATAAAGCAATACAAACACATTTATTTAAAATAAACTGGAAGGAGGTACCAGGTCCATGATGGTGTTAAGTCTGGGGAAGGGGAGATGGACGGAGTGTTAAGGTGGTAATGAAAGAGTCCTTTAGTTTGGAAACAAATATACTACCGATGCTAACAATTAATAAAAGTTAATTCTACATATAGAGAATATATGAGTGCATGCTGCCTTTGTACTTTTCTATATTTTTTCTTCTTTTAATGTAAACAGCGTTAAACACCTGTGCATCTTTGCACATTTTTAAAAAAGGATAAATTCCTAAAACCAGAATTGCTAGGGCAATTGTTGGTCTTTGTTACATATTATCAATTGCCTTCCAGAAAGGCTGTAACAATTTACATGTAGGTCACCAAACTATATGCTTATTTCCTTGCATTTTTTGCCAATCTGGTTACTAAAACACAAAAAACTATCTTCAGTACACTAGGTATGTGAGGCAGGGATCTGATTTTCTCCCTCAAACTGTTAGAGTCTATCATACCTTAATTACTGAGCAACCCACTATAATATCATAAAGGCTTCATTGCAATCTGTTATATACCATAAAATAGCAAAAACAAACAAAAAAAACATCAATTATTTTCATTGTTTCTTTTGCCTGTTTTCCCAACAACTTTAGGTAGAATATAATTAAGCACTGTTTTTTATCTTACAAAGGAAGACTATGCAGATAACGTATTGAAAACTAGACAATCAGGCAGGTGCGGTGGCTCAGGCCTGTAAATCCCAGCACTTCGGGAGGCCAAGGCGGGGGATAACTTGAGGCCAGGAATTTGAGACCACCCTGGCCAACATGGTGAAACCCAGTCTCTACTAAAAATACAAAAACTTGGCTGGGCATGGTGGCACACACCTGTAATCCCAGCTACTTGGGAGGCTAAGGCATGAGAATCAAGAATCTCTTGAACCCAGGAGGCAGATTGCACCACTTGCACTCCAGCCTGGGCAACAGAATGAGACTTCATCTCAAAAAAAAAAATAAATAAATAAATAAATAAATAAAACTAGACACTGATGCATTTTACTGAAATGGTTTATATTTTTATTTTATTTACTTTAGTTTATTTTTTTTTTTTGAGACAGAGTCTCGCTCCGTTGCCCAGGCTGGAGTGCAGTGGGGCCATCTTGGTTCACTGCAACGAAATGGTTATTTTAAAAGATGTACTCATAAATAAGGCAATTTAAAAAGGTTTTCACTTTTGAAAGCTACAAGAAAGACCTTTAAACTTCTTGGTCTAACTATACCAGTCTTCTTTAATTATCATCTAAAAATACACACTAATCAAAGAATTTGATCAGTGACAAATATCCTGAACTTCCACAGCCCTTTTCATCTCTCATGCTAGGTTAAATGATTCAGTTGAGAATTACTAATAATTAGCATTTACACAACACTTTACTTACTGCAACATACAAAGCAGGGGAAAATAACGATCATCACATTAACAAAGGAAGACGCTGAACCAATTAGACTAGTCATCTAAGGTCACGCTAAAGCAGATATTTGCCAGGATTAGACACAGGAGTTCTTGTAGCATAATTCCAATATGACTTATTACTCAAAAGTTACTACCTATAAGAACTATAATGACTCAGGAAGAAATCCAGAATGTACCAGAGCCAGAGAATCACATTATTGAAATAACTGAAGACCATCTACTTCAAGATCCTCATTTTACAGATAAGAAAACTGAGGCCCCCAAAAGGCTTAGTTGTTCAAAGTCAGACTTCTAGGCACAGTATAGCAAGAATTAGAATCTAGTACTCTTTAATCTAAATTCAGTGAGCTTCAAATACTAGAGTGTAACAGCTATCCTTAATTGGTAATTCAAAAATTTTGGTTTATTGAAAAGCCTCAATGTCTTCACTGATAATTATTAGTGAAATAATTCATATCATTAATCCAATAAATAATTATCCAGTACTTAGTATTATGTACCAGGCCATGTATGCGGTGCTAAATCTGACTATTTACTATGTGCTAAGCACTGAATTACCTGTATTTTCTTTTCTTTTTTTTTTTTGAGACAGGGTCTCACTCTGTCGCCCAGGCGGAGTGCAATGGCGCAAACTTGGCTCACTGCAACCTCCACCTCCCAGGTTCAAGTGATTCTCCTGCCTCAGCTTTCCAAGTAGCTGGGATTATAGGCATGTACCACCACGCGTGGCTAATTTTTTTCTTTTGTATTTTTAGCAGAGACGGGTTTCTCCATGTCGGTCAGGCTGGTCTTGAACTCCCGACCTCAGGTGATCCACCCACCTCAGCCTCCCAAAGTGCTGGGATTACAGGCGTGAGTTACCATCCTGACCCACATTTCCATATTTAATCCTCACAATACCATTATAAGGTTAAGTACAATTTCTCTATTTTAAATATTAAAACTTAAGAAGATAAGTCTACCTATGGTCTCCAGTAAGGAAATGCCTTTACAAAAAGTAAATAGTATAATCAAACACAAATATGTTTAGCCTAGCAAAAATCTCATTTTCTTGTAAATACTGCAACTCTGTATATGATTTTATTTGAAAAAAGGATCTTTAATCAAAAAAGTTTAAAAACCACAGACCTCTACATAGCACCTAACACTGACCACACAGTAGATGCAGAACTTGGTATTACATTAAAGGTTGGGGGTCTCTTGTAGAAGGCTTGAAAGATCTTTTTTTTTTTTCTTATACTTTCCAAGACCTCAGAATAGACAGTATTTGCAGTAATTTAATTGAAAGCCACTTGCTAGAAAAGTGATTGCTTGAAATAGAAGACAAGAGAAGGGGTTTCTGGTACTATCTAACAATGAGTTTTGGCCTGAAGGATATTAAATAAGATACAAAGTAGAAAAATACACTAGTTCTCCTAAGTATTACTCATAAAATAGTACTACAATACTGGTTACCTACTTTCAGAGCATAAAATCTCTGTAGTATATGATCACATTAATTAAAAGTTTCATTTACTATCTTTCCCAGCAGGAATTGCTTTATCTTTGATTGCTAAGATTTCACAAGGTCCATATCAATAAACCCAAGTGCTAAGAAGTGTGACTATTATAAAGATTTAGAAATAAGCTTTGTAAATAAGTAAGAACCTGATGATATTATGTTCTCACCTAATATCACCCTAGGGCCAACCTATAAGAAAAGACATACCTTGAAACATAACTGGAGCATAGAAAAAAATTTTAGGGGAAGATTAATTTTACAAACTGGTCTACTGCTTTGGGAAATACTGGTATTAAGGAAACCAAATCAAGCAATCATTATTTAAAAAAAAAAAAGAGAAAGAGAAGAATCTGCGTTTCCCATCATACAGTATATTATATTCTAGCCATGATTCGTAGGTATAAATCAGACTCTAACATAAATGGCATGCTGATAAATAATCAATCACATAATTAACCACATGCAGTATTCTGATGTGAATAGTTACCTGAGAAGTTTGTCAGAAGTCTTGCTAGGACATGCTTTTTTACTAATTCAGTCTTGCTAAGGCTGGAAACAGCATCTACCCTAGTAGTTTCTCTGATAGCAGTGGGCTTTTGGGAAATCCCAAGATCAGATCCATTCTTGACATTATGTTTTAGGATGTCACATGATCTCTGTGGCCAAGATTCTGGAGCGAATGTGAAAGTTTGTTTCAGCACTTCTTCAGAAGGCAATTCTGTGTCATGCTGTGCAGAAGCTGACTTCTCAGCTTGTCTTTCACCTAATTCTTTAAGAGCCTTGATTGTGAGCTGTTCTTGTTCTAAGTCAAGAGGTGCTACTGGAGTACCTTGAGTGGGGAAAACACCTAGAGGCTCACTTCCATTTGTTTCTTTGCTTTGTTCACTGTATTTGCTTCCAATGTCTTTAATTTCAGAACTACCAGGCTCATTTTCATGTAAGACTTTTTCTACAGGAAGAGCTGTTTTAAAGTCTGTCGTCTTCTCTGATCCTGCTTTAAAGGCATTTCCTTCACTAGCTACTATACCTTTCTCTCTGGTTTCTGCAAAAGCTGCTACCAGGTCCTCTGGGGAGGAATCATCTACATGTTTAACATTTTTCCCATGTAATGACTCTAAATAGGCAGATGTTGTCACATTTAATGAGAATTCTGTCTCATTAAAAACATTTGGAGACACTGTTGAAGGAGGTTTGGGGTTCTGAGTAGTAATAGGGTTTTCAGGCACAACTTCACTCATTTTATCTGACTGCTTCACATCTAAAGAGATATTCATATCAGGTACTTTTGGACATGCTGCCTCACGAGCTGGACTCCTTTCAAGAATATCAGGCCAATCTTGATGTAGTTCAGAATCACTGACCAACTCCTCAAAGTTTTTAGTTGTTTCTTCTTCTCTCTTACAACTGGGAATCTCTTTGATTTCTCTTTCACCTGTTTTTACAACAGTACTTCGAATGGAAACAGGTTTTTCAGCCTGAATTTTGTTATTTTCAAATGATGACTCTGCTGTGATGTCCTCTATTACTGTGTCATCAGACTCACCAGAACTATCGGCCTCTGTGATTTCTCCCAATGCAGAGCTCTGCCAGTTCATTTCATCTTTCAGGTGGTCATCAGATAAAACCACTTTCACTGTGGCCACTCCAGAACCCAAAGAGTCACATTTCTCAGGTGTAGACTCAGGTAATTCTGCAAGTACGTCATCCTGTTTCTGCATATTGCCTTGTACACCTCCGATACTGACTTCTTTTGCGGAACTGAGAGGATCTGCTTTAGGTTTTCCAGTGATAGCATTTTCTTGCGGGAGAGATGCTTCCGCCCAATCACCTGTTGATTTAGTGATGGGAGTGCTCCCATTAACAGAACATACAGGAATTTTCTGATCAGTGTTAGTTTTAAGATTTACAACTGGAATTTCTGAATTATATTCACTCATGACAAGTCCTGTAGTTTTTGTGATGCGCTCACAGGATTTATCAGTCTGTTGTTTCACTTGAGGAACCAAATCCCAAGTCAGTATTTCATTAGTGAAGTTATGCATATCATTCACACATCTAGACACTTCTTCCAGTGCTGCATTTGTGTGTGAAAACTGTCTACTGAGCAATGCAGACATTGAGTAACGTCCTGCCTCTTTATTTCTCAGTGGAAAAAGCTTGTCATTAGTCTCTGAAATGTCTTCGGATGATTCTCTATCAGTGTGCATAGACCAGCTGCCAAAATCATCTGTGTTCTCCTTATATGAGTCTTTAAATTCTTTATCAAATGCTGCTTTGTCAATAATTACTTCAAATGGTGATTCGGGGGAATCCTTTTCAATAACACCATCTCCTGAAACTTTGGATGGGGACAAAGAATATGTATAAATGCCTTCTACCTTAGAGTGCTCAGTAGGTGGTTTCTGGGCTGTTAGCAAAGTGAATCTGTCATCAGAATCCAATGCAGTTTTAGCTTCCCTACTTGATACCTCATTTGGGTTCTTGGTCTCTTTATCTATTTGCTCTTCCACTCCACCAATTTTCTTTGAGAGAAAAGCAGGATGCTCTGGGAAACTGGCTGGAATAGAAGGACGGTCATAATGAAACGCTGCAAGAGAAACTGAAGAGTCTGATACGTTGTTGTCCCCTGAGGCTTTTCCATCTTTTTCATATCTTTTAGATCCAAGTGGTCTTTTCCTTCATTGGCTAAAATAGGCTGGCTCCCTAACACTTTACTTTTTTCTCCATGTAGTATTATAAGGCCAGTATTACGTATTTCAGAAGATAAAAGAAAGGAAGAAGTCATAATTTCTGAAAATGGCTCATTAGAGCAAAGAGAGCTCAATACCTCTATGATCAGAATTTCAAAGAAAAAAATTGTTTACCAGGTACAATTACACATTAGCTAGCCAAGCCAAGCAGCATGCTTTTTAATTTTAAAATTACATAAATATGTATATACACACACAGGATGTATATATACACACATAAATACATACATATACACACATAAATACGTAACAAAACAAACAAGTCATCCTACAGGACATGCATAAAACTGCCAACGGTGAAACAGAAAAGCCATTTCATGCTGTGAACTGCAAATGACAAAAAATTTTCATGACAAATACTTTTTGGTCTACTTTTCCACTGTAAAGAGAAAGCATAAAGAAGGGCGGTAAGATTGAGAAATCTAGGGAGGTTTTTATTATTCTGGTAGAGCTAATCAACCAAAGCAAAATAATCCATACAAAACAAATAACTTGATACTATGATGCATTGAAAGACTTTAAACTGTAAACTGAACAATTCATGGCACACACTGCTTCTATAAATCCACTGTTAGAGTCTCACAATCTGAGAAGGAAAAAAAGAAGTGGCCAGATTTCTTTTTGATTTTTAGGAGATGCAACAGACCGTTCCTGAGCCTGAAGTGAGACTAGAATTACTCTATTCTACCCACAGGAAGAATCTGTCCCATGTACAAATAAATAGCCGTGATATTCTAAACTAAACGGTACTGAAAAAGGTTGACCTACTTCAAAATCTCTCTTTTTTTTTACATGGAGTCTTGTTCTTGTCGGCCAGGCTGGAATGCAATGGCGCGCTGTAGGCTCACTGCAACCTCCACCTCCCAGGTTCAAGGGATTCTCCTGCCTCAGTCTCCTGAGTAGCTGGTATTACAAGCGCCTGCCACCACACCTGGCTATTTGGTATTTTTGGTAGGGACGGGGTTTCAGCATTTTGGTCAGGCTGGTCTTGAACTCCCAATCTTAAGTGATCCACCCTACTTGGCTTCCCAAAGCGTTGGGTTTACAGGCATGAGCCACCACGCCCACCCAGCCCCTCCAAAATCTTTTGTACCGACTCGTCATTTAAATCAATATTGTAGCCGGGCACGGTGGCTCACGCCTGTAATCCCAGCACTTTGGGAGGCCGAGGCGGGTGGATCACGAGGTCAAGAGATCGAGACCATCCTGGTCAACATGGTGAAACCCCGTCTCCACTAAAAATATAAAAAATTAGCTGGGCATGGTGGCGCGTGCCTGTAATCCCAGCTACTCAGGAGGCTGAGGCAGGAGAATTGCCTGAACCCAGGAGGCGGAGGTTGTGGTGAGCCGAGATCGCGCCATTGCACTCCAGCCTGGGTAACAAGAGCGAAACTCCGTCTCAAAAAAAAAAATAAATAAAATCAATCAATCAATCAATCAATATTGTACCATGCAAATTGACACTCTGGTTAAGACAGAGTTAACTTGGCTGGGCACAGTGGCTCATGCCTGTAATTTCAGCACTTTGGGAGGCCTAGGCAGGTGGATCACCTGAGGTCAGGAGTTCAAGACCAGCCTGACCAAAATGCTGAAACCCTGTCTCTACTAAATATACAAAAAAATTAGCCAGGCGTGGTGGTGGGCGCCTGTAATCCCAGCTACTCAGGAGGCTGAGGCAGGAGAATCACTTGAACCCGGGAGACCACGCCTTTGCACTCCAGCCTGGGCAACAAGAGCAAAACCCCAACTCAAAAAAAAAAAAAAAAGAAAAAAGTTAACTCCAGAATTACTTTTAAAATAGAAAATATCCTCAAAGTAATACATTAAGTCTTATCAGTTATTAATACCACAGTAGCCATCAATCTACCACACAGTTTCCTAACTTTCCACTCTAACAAGTTATTAGGGAAAAGGATAAAAACAAACATCCCAAGGGCTGGTGCTTTCTTATTTCCTTTATTTATTTGTTTGTTTTTGAGACAGGGCCTTCCTATTTCCCCCAGACTGGAGTGCAAATGGTGCAATCGTGAACAGCCTTGGCCTCCTGGCTTCAAGCTATCCTCCCACCTCAGCCTCCCAAGTAGCAGGGACCACAGGCACATGCCACCATACCTGGCTAATTTTTAAACTTTCTACAAACATGGGGTCTTGCTACGTTGCCAGGTTGGTCTCAAACTACCAGGCTCAAGCAATCTGACCAACTTGGCCTCCTAAAGTGCTGGGATTATAGGCATGAGCCACCTCGCCCAGCCCTAGATGCTGTCTTTCTTACATACTGTTGTATCTTTGGAGCTGGAACAAAGTGGGTCTTAAATAGCCCCAAATAAGTGAATCAAAGATTTCGCTTGGTCAGCTGAGACCTAAATAGGCTCAGGACAGCAATGCCTTGAGCATGAATGAGTAACTGGGAAAATGTGACAGATAAATTCTTTTGGGATTACTTTTATTCAGCTTATGTTCCCTTTTTCATGTAAACACCCAAATATCAGATAAAAGCAAAATTATGACTTTATTCAAAATTATTAAAGACAATATTTTACTACAATAAATAAAATTCTGCTACTATAAAAATGCTTTGAAATGCCATATAAAGTTCCCCTACTTCAATACATCACTGAAATTTGATGTAATAAGAGTTGCGCTTTAGAAATAGTATAACTGTAATCTGGTTATTAGAACAAAAAGTCTTTGTACATTGAAGAAAAACTGTTAAAGCCTGGTGGCAAAGCTATATTACCAAAACAAAACACTTGAAGTAAACTTTAACTCATATGTAGTTCTAATTTAGTAAACATGGTTTGCCTCTACCATTATATAGAATGGATATTCAGCATGACTAGATTAGGGCATAATAGAAATGAAGCCCAGCATTGTAGGTTAAAAGGTTCAAAAATCTGAAGTGTAAAGTACTACAGGTTACATTTTAAATTAGAAATATTCCACATTCTGAGCCACGCATTGTTACTGAATTTACTAGTCAGTGTTTCTACCAGAAAATATTCAGTGAACTAAGGTTATGATAAAACTGTTTCGGAACCTCTCTCTTCAAACAACTCTGAGGTGCGTCAAACTGACTCCACACCACAGGGAGGTTCAGCTTACATGGTTTGTGTTTTTTCTTTTTGAGACACAGTCTCGTTCTGTTGCCCAGGCTGGAGTGTGGTGGTGCAATCTCGGTTCACCGAAACCTCTGTCTCCCGGGTTCAAGCTATTCCCCTGCCTCAGCCTCCCGAGTAGCTGGGATTACAGGTGTGTACCACCACACCGGTTTTTTTTTTTTTTTTTTTTTTTTTTGAGATGGAGTCTCACTCTGTCTCTCAGGCTGGAGTACAGTGGCGCAATCCCAACTCACTGCAACCTCCATCTCCTGGGTTCAAGTGATTGTCCTGCCTCAGCCTCCCAAGTAGGTGAGATTACAGGCGCCCGCCACCACACCTGGGTAACTTCTGTATTTTTAGTAGAGACAGGGGTTCCTCATGTTGTCCAGGCTAGTCTCAAACCCCCGAGCTCATGCAATCTGCCTGTCTCAGCCTCCCAAAGTGCTAGAATTATAGGCATGAGCCGCTGTGCCCAGCCAGCTTATATGTTTTAAGGAGATTTCAGATTATGCAGATTTGTCATCTTACAGATGAACGTCAACAAAATGGATTAGTCATAATTCAACAGATGTCTACTGAGTGCCTAACACACGCCAGACACTATTTTAGCAACTGGGCTTAAAGCAGTGAATAAAACAGAAAAAATCTCTTGCTTTTATGGGGCTTACAACACAGAGGGGGAGACAGACAATAAGCAAAATAATGATGACAATGATGTGATGGTGATTGTGCTTGATGAAACAAAACAAACAAAAGAGAAAGCAATCGAACTGAATGCTAACCAAAGATTATTCACATCACTGGGAAGGAAGAACACGGTAAAACTGTTATGCTTTAGCAGGACACAAACTGGTCAGTTCACAGAGTTTTGCTTTTCTCTTAATCTTCCTTGAACTCTTAATACTCCAAAAGTTTCAAGTTAGGTGTAGAATAATCTTAGGTAAAACTACAAGATAAGGTTAGAAGTCCTATTCTCAGAATGCTAACAATTCCTCTACTGAGCACCATGACTGCCTGACAGACTTCAAACATTAAAGATTCTTTAGGCTGGGTGTGGTGGCTCATCCCTGTGTTCTCAGAACTTTCAGAGGCAGAGGAGAGATTGCTTGAGTCCAGGAGGTCAAGGTCAGCCTGGGCAACATGGTAAGACCCTGCCTCCACAAAAAACAGAAAAATTAGCCAGGCATGGAGGTGCATGCCTGTGGTCCCAGCCACTTGAGAAGCTGGAGTGGGAGGACTAGTTGAGCCTGAGAGGTCAAGGCTGCAGTGAGCCATGGTTATGCCACTGCATTCCAGCTTGGGTGACAGAGGGAGAAAGAAAAGAAAAGAAATGATTATTTAATATGACATGGCCACTAGATGTAAAAAAAAAAACCTCTAATAATGTTCCCTAATAATAATATTATAACTTACTATTTGTAAGTAAGTATTATAACTTACTAGAAAACTATTTATATTGTTTTCTAGGGGCAAGCTCACTGAGCAAACAGAGCTCAGTGCTGCATTCAATTCTCAGTGATTGTGAGATGCAGGCACCAGCTCTAATCATTATTGCCAATCAAGCTTTCCCACATGTAGAAAAATAAGGTAGCACCACCATCTGTGCTTTAATTTTAATTATCTTGTTTAGAATTTCAGCAAATGAAAAGACCATTTTTGGCTAGTTGAAACCCTAACAAACTTGGACAGAGTTGACCTATACCAAGACA